CATATATTTATTCATAATTATATAATAAACTATGGGAATTTAAAAATGTAATGTAAAAATTAGAAGATTAAAAATCATAGAATTTTTTCAATTAATTATAATAAGAATTTTATTTTTTTGTACTTTAAAAAGTGAGCTTTATATGGATGTCAAATTTGATGAATTTTTATTCTTTCATATATTATTACTATTAAATTACTATTATAATTTACTATTATATATGTTAATATTTAATATAATAATAATAGAGTTAATAAAATAATTTTTAGTTAAATATTTTTCAATGGGGATAATTAGTCCTTACTCATTTATTTAACATTCTTTCTACAATAAATTGAACGGTTCAAACTGTTTCCATAAATCTACTTATTCATAAAACGCAACCATTTCTTATCTTACAAGATCTTCAATTTTTACATATTCAGGATGTTTCACAGAATCTATATTTTTCAAAAATCGCAGATAAAAGTCAAATAAAAAGAACATCGATTTACCGAATGTCGAAATGCTTTAAAACAGTTACAAAGTATATAATATTAAAAATTTAAGTTTAAGAATATTAACAATTAAAATAATATAATGGATTTAATTTAATCTTTTAAATTAAAATTTTAGAAAGAATCGGGAATATGTAATAGCATAAAATGGATTTCTTTTCAAATTATTGAATAGTTATTTTATTTTATGAATCTATAATCGAGAAATCTGCGATTTTTTAGACATCTTATAGATTTGTATAGATAATTAATATATTATTGTATTACATTTCGACATAAAAATGATAAAACTCCTTAGAACGAACTTATTTAAAGAGTTATATCCCATTTTCATGCGGAAATAAATATACACTTAAATCTTATATACGTAGCGTGTAATATTAATGCGTGAATTTGTTTAAAATACACAGCTCGTTTATAATCTAAACAGTATAATACGCGCGAAACAATTTGTCGAATGAAATTTATTCATGTATGACTGTGAGAATCCATATAAAAATATTCTATCTATTCTATCAATTTCTTTTTTCTCTTCTTTAAATTTAATGAATCTTCCGATTTTATTGGATTATCGAATTCCCTCGATTATTTATTGTCTGTTGCTTTATACGGAGGATTGTCCTTGTAGGAATTCAGAATTCATTTTAGAATTATTATTTTCGTCAATCTGATAACGATTAAAGTGTAAGAAATCCCTTCGTTTTTTAAATAAAGTAATTAATAAAAAAAAAAAAAAAAACATTTTTATTCGCAACACAGTAATTCTATATATGTGAAGGTAGTTAGCTTATTATTTTAGAATTGTCTTTAAAGACACAACTTACAATTATGTTACAATAATAATTTATTAAATTTATATTTAATAGAGATAAAGCTATAGAATAAAAAAAAAAAAAAATTAAATTTATTGTATTAAATCTAGATTTAATTTAATTTGTAAAAGTTTCTCCTAAAATCACTGTATTGCAAATAAGGAAATCTTTCAAATGCATTAGTAGTGCAACCTTTTATGTTTATCGATTAGTAGAGTGTAAATAGAACCGATGAAAGATAATAGAGATGGATTGCGCACAGTATTAGATAAAGAGAGATAATAGACGAGTCATAGAGCTTATACTTTAGAATAATTAAAAATGCATGTACAAACGCGCTCTCTTGCTGAATATATCCCACATTGTATATATACAGGGTGTTATCAAAATATTTGGATAAATTATATTACACTGTATCAAAATCACTAATTTATAGGAATATTATAGTTTTTTATCAGTACAATATATATTAATAGAATCGATGATAGGTAAAATTGGATAAAATTATTTAAAAAAATTTATGATAAGATTAGTTGAACAGAATTATTGAATACAGTTTGATTAAATTTAGCCAAAGATTTTAGAAACACTCCATTTATGTACTCAAGGTAAAACTCTTGTAGAAAAATATAAAATTATGAAAAGACGTTTGAGCCGTCTCTCACGGTATACACTGTACTAACTTTCAATATAATGTATAATGCAAATGCTACATCATAAAACTAGTATGAGAAAATTTCGACGAAGATGAGATTCAATTTGCTATATAAGATACAATGGAGCTATCTATGGGTAATAAGACAATATCCAAATTTATCGCATGTGCGCATTGATGTATATAAACGTTACATTTGAACATTTATGAATGTATGTGCATTGTTTAACAGCGATAATTTTAAAAAATTTATATCAAATTATTCAAGCAGCCCCGCCATATCTTACTAATAATTAATGTAATTATGATATTAAAATATAATTTTCTAATATAAATTTAGAAAAACATTAACAAGCTTTTGTATAAGCTTAAGTTATAAAAGTTTATGTTTAAAATTAAGTTTTATCTGAAGCAATGTGCGCTCTTATTAAAAAAATTGTACAGATTGTCCAAATATTGCTTTATGGAAGAATATTGTGCATCACACAATTTAATTACAATCATTTGAAATTTACAAAACACCATGACTTTTCATATGACTAATATATAATTAAAACATAAATAATATAAGCTCATGTATATATGGCAAAAAATTATGCAATTAAAAACATATAATCATAGTCCAAGCAAATGTATAAATATTTCCAATTTCTACAATTATAGCTCGTGTTAATTTTAGATAAGGTGGAAAGCTCGTCGTCAAAATTCTGATAGGACTAGTATTAATCGGATGGCCAACAGTCTTGACTCTCCTGCATAACTTTCAATGTAATAAAATTTTTATTTCAAGTATTATAAGACGGAAAATTTATGAAAATATCATAAAACTAAAAAACTGCAAAATTTTTGTTTTGATATATTCATTATAACTTTAATAAAATTCGAGGCATGACAACTTTTTATGTAAATAAAAAATATTAAATAAAGTACTAAACAGTACTAAAAAATAATAAATAACAACCTCGTGTAATTACAGAATAAATTTGTAATACTAAAAATAATATGGAAATTTATTACAAAACAATTACATCAGATCTTCCTACAAAATCTTGTCAATTATGTAAAAATATTACTAGATATGGTCTCTATTTTATTATTATTCCCAAGTTTAACTTTTAAACCAAGATCAATTAAATAATTAAAGTATGTAAAACTCAAAATTTACTTTTTCAATGTAATTAAATTAGATTATAATTGTTTAATTCAAAGGAGTGCTGCTAGAACTGTTTTTTAAACTGTTTTGTCTTTAAAATTATATATGCCTATAGCAAGATTAACTTAGAAATAAAATTTCTGCAGGAAAATTCAGCATGGCAACTTTAGCGTAAACTCTATCTAAAAATGTAATGCTTACTTCTATTAAGAGACATATTTTCGTTACGCGTTTAGCGCCAAAGATGGGAGTGTTTGATTCTACTTTATATTTTAAATGTAATCTTAACAAAATGAAAAATACGTTTAGCTTTAAACGCGTGACGAATTATGCAGATTTAAATGTACAATCTTTTTGTTACGTCTAATGATTTAGCAGTTATTCGAACAATGCGAAAAATGGAAGTGCCGTACAGCTTTCTTTTTTCATTAATAAGGCTTATTGGTCCGGTTTTATTAATAAGGGCAGTAGTAATATATTAACTTTTCTAAATCCTGATAAAACCTGATAAATTCCGGTATTTTTCAAGAGATCTCTTGTGAAACGATCTTATTCTGGTCATTAATGCGTACTTTACATGATCTTATTTATTTTTCCATAACTATTTCTCCTATCAACAGGACATTAAAAATGATTAATCAATCCAAAAACTCCAAGTCACGCTTATATAAAACATGCATTACTTTGAAAGGTTCTTATTTAATTGAAAGCTTGTCTTCATAATCTGCTATTTAAAGAATTGTATGATTATATATGTATATGTATTTTCAACATATATGTAAACATTTCGAAATGTTTCTCTTATTTCGTGTTAAAGAGCAGTAGCCTCAGTATTTCCGCTCTTAAAATGTTTTTTTTTTTTTCTTAAGGAATAGAAATTGCTCATCTTTAACTGTAATAAGAGAAACGTTCCAATATCTCTCAATTTTCATTTCTTTTCTAACTCCTGAGTAAATAGAAGTATATCGCAACGCTAAATTTCATCTTTAAAACAATCAAAACGTCACGTTGGCCACCACACTTGGCATTGCCATGGAAAATAGGATTCCTGTAAAGATCCCCGTAATTAAAGATGCTGCCCCAAACATGCCGGCCGTCGATGCGTGCTGCGAATCCACCATTCTAAATACACAAAGTACATATTATTATATATAATTTCTACATTCTTTTATTTCTTATATCGTATATTATTCATTTTAATAATGTAATTACGTTATAATATAAGTATATACAGAAATTCTCATATATTTTAGCTTTTTCTCCATTTTTTTATTAACTATACTTACCTAGGACAGTACATCATTGATAATGATGACAGATATCCGCTACTGAAGCCCATAGTAATAGCAATGATCCAGAAAATCCAATCATTATCGATAAATATGGGTAGTGATCTCTCTATGCGAGCCGGTTGGTAGTTGCAGAATAAAAACAACGGTAAGTAAGCAAATCGCAGTACTACCGGAATCACCAGATATTTCTGGCTGGGCTGTAAAAAAAGCAACTCATTAAATTGTACAATATATATCTAAAATATTTTATTTATAAA